GGGGGGGGGGGGGTTGGAATGAAAGAAAGAAGATATAAATGGGCAGCACTTGATTTAAATCAACATCCTGAGCGCAGTTTCCTTGTACAAAGAAAGTCTTAATTCTGGCTTAACAGGATGATGTCTCAATCTTGCAGCGAACCCCGTCCCCAGCCTGACAAACAGACCCTTTCTCAGTTTTCAGATTTTCCATTTGATGGTCTCCTTTTCCTAAATCCTTCAGCCTTCTCCACCCAAGGTTCGTCATTGCCTGTGCTGGCTCTGGCAAGTGATACCGGCAGTTTGGCACAGCTTAAGGAGAGGAAGGAAGGCATGATCTTCCTGCTGCTACCATTTTGGTTCTCAGTATTATGAATAATAAAGCTCATGCCACAGAAACCAGCTCATACTAGTCCGGTTTAAAGTGGCTAAACATAAAGGGGAGGGGTCGATTTTGTTGTAATTACAATTCTCCTTTCAGAAATACTATAATCCAAGAAAGACCACTTAGTGCCGACAATCTGTAGTTCCAGAAAGTTTTCCGCTATGGCCCCCCACAGGAGCAATTGGCTGCTGGATCGCCTGCTTTGCCTCCCTTTGGAAATCAGTGGCCGCTCACCATCTGCTCCTGAATGGTGATGATTTCTCCCACTCTCCATCCGTCACCAGCCTCTTGCGCCGTGCAAAATATCTTGTGTCCCAAGAACCTTGGGAGGCGCCTGCATGCTTGCAAGGGAACAAGAGAGGTCTGATTTCTGCTTTAGGGAAGGTTTGTAACTGGTCCTCCACCATGAGGTGTGGGCACCTTCTAAAACTGTTTTATAAGAACTTTTCAGAAAAGTGGGCACAAGAGTCAATTCTGAAGGCAGACAAGAACAGGCAGCTATGCATTTCCATTTCAGTTCAAATACTCTGGGGGGGAAGAACACCCAAATTCCTTCCCACCAAATTTTCACACTTTACTTTTGAAATATTAAATTAAAAGGGGTGTTAAACTAATTTTAAAGCTATATTGTGTAGTCTTATTTATTACATGTGCCTTCAAAAATCAGTACAATATTGGGAATGGTGAATGGTAGAGCATCAAATGAAGAGAATATATGTTAAATATTAGCAAGAAAACTTAAATAATATCTGATTATTAGCCTTTTTAGATGGATTAATGGAAGTTGTATTTCAAAATACCTGGTGTTCAAAATGTTGGTGTGGCATCAAATGCCAGTGATGTTCTAAAGTAGAGGCTAATTTTCATCTAGTTCTTATGGATGTATTGCAATATATTTATTGGCTGTTTGGTTCCATTGTGGCATCAAACTTATAATGATGAAAGCGATATTTTGCATCAGTTTCTCCACTGGATCTGTTGCTTTGTGCATCGGATTCCCTTTAACAGCTTATTCAACCTGGGTGCTTTACGTATGTGTGGACTTTAACTCTCAGTCTTCTAAGCTATAACCATGCTTGTTGGGAAATATGGAACCTGAAGTCCACCTTTCTTGAGATGTTCCAGTTGGGGAAGACTACACTACCAGGAAGAGCAGCAAGGATTAACTAAAAAGATAACTGAAGTGGTCCAGCCAAGGAAGGTGGCGGTGTTCATGATTTCCCTCCTCTTCCTTATAGGACAACTTACTACTTTCTCATTTAATATATATTGGG